GCGATTTCTGCGTTTACCCGGATAAAAAGATACCACCGCGATGTCGGTTCGCGACTGTGTGTGTGTGTGTGTGTGTTTGCGTAGGTGGTTAACGCGCCTCTCCGGTTCTACCAGCGATGAAAAACGAGATTCAGTGGGCAGCTTGGGGGCCGATCGAATCGCAAGATAGATACGAGCAATTACGTCAGTCAACGGGCACCGGGCACTCGGTGGCGGGCAACCCGAGAAGCGTGTTACGTCTCTATACACGTGCATATTAATCCACCGTGCCGCGTTTTACCGCGAAACATATTCACCCAGTCGCGAATCCTGCACAAGCCAATGCGTTCCACGCGGTGTGCGCGCCGCACGATGGTTACAAAACGTAACCGTCTGCCACCGTATTGTACATATATACTTACCAATATGTGTACTTTGTTTTTATGTATATATGCTCTCTATACTCATATGCGTATGTATGTATACATATATACACATATACACACACTATGTGTATATATGTATGCTATAATATTTTTTCGTACGTTAACAAATGATCGCGACTGTCGTTTCTATACCTATAGCCTCAACTGGTCTGTTTTTCTTTTTTTGATTTTTATCTTGCCCTCTTCCGCCTGACGATGCTTCTTCATGCTTGCTGACACAAAAAAAATATCTTCGTGCGCTTCGCTACCCGCCAATTAACACCTGCCGACAAAAATCATGCCGACCGAATTGTTGTGCACCGATGCCACTCCAACCTCTCCGGACGACATTAAAAACGGCCCGCACGGATTAAAAAAAAAAACAATTGAACGAAAATTCCACCGATCGTCCATGATGAAACGAAACGAAAAAAAATGTATAACGACGAAACGGCGCGAACATGGTCGAAAAAACACATGAAACGATACGGGACGATCACGTGACCGGATACACGGTGGTGCCACGATACACGCGCACGTTATACATGGCGAATATAATCTGCTCTCTCGACTTTTGGCGCATCCATGACCGTGAATATTCAAATAAAACGAAAATTTAATAACAACAACAAAAATATATGCATACGTTATTCCGGATGAAATACGGGAATATTTGGACGGATCGATCATGTAAAAAAAAATAAATAAAAAATAAACAGACGGCTACGATGCCGACGAATGTGGCGGGAATGGGTGCGTTGGCCGGCGGAGTGTCAGGAGTTCCCGCGACTGCGGTTCCCGGAGGACTTCAGACCGCCAGTATGGCGAACATCGAACTCGGCAAGAAGCGGATGCGCGACTCCAATGATGATCTCCTAATGGTACCACCGCTTATGCATGGAGTACACTTTCCTTTTGTTCGTTTTTTTTTTTTTTTTTTTTTTTTTTTTTAGCGAAAATGGCTCTCACTCTTCGCGCTTTCTCTGGTCTCGTGGGAAATCTCTTGTCTCTTAACCCGTTAACCTGGGATCTTTGACTCGTTATCGGTTTTTGCTTTTTCGTTTTTAATCGAATTATTTGAATCGTATTTGCGATCTTCCGATACACTAGGTTCGTACGGTAGATTATTTATGTTTCAATTTACATCGGCGGATATGAGTTCATGGTAGAGAAATTCACCTGGTTTAACGGGTTCACTTGTTCCGAAGCGGTTTTCAGCGAAACGGATATGTTTCTGATAGAATTCCGAAAATTTCGACGACAAAGCATTGGATTGGAGCGAGTAATCGTAAATCAACACCTTGTGTAGATTCAACCGTGTACCGTCTGTTTAATGAAGCAGTAGAGTTTTACAGTCGTTTTGATTTTTCCAAATTGATCATTTTCAGTTTTGATTCGGACATTAAAATGAAACTTTTCGTTCTTTTAATATGACGGTTTTCGCATGGTTTTATAAGTATTATAGAATGTGACTTTTAGTACGAATACTAGTCTTTTGAAATATTATTTGATATTTGCCTTGTAATTTTCGTATATTACTAGTTTTTGTATGAATTATAATGTTTTCGTTACGACGGAGAGCACAGAATTGAATTCAATGATTGTTTCGTGACACTTGACATTTCTTCTTACATATCCTTCCACCATAAAGTACAATAACTTTTTTTTACAAAAGTCATAAAATTTACTTCGAAATAAATTTCTAGTAGATCTCTTAAACAAACCAAATAAGCCTATGAATTTATAATTCTGCATTGCCGGTAGTTTCAATACTAATTACAAACTAGTACTTGAAGTCTATACAATCTTCTATAAAAATGTCACGAAATATTTCCATTCCAATTGACAAATTTGCATTGTGCGTGTACATATACCATTTAAAAAGAAAATTCCAAATCTCTGTTATTAAATATTGTTCAAGGAGCTCGTTTACATTAGATATCCAACAATACCTCAATGTCCACAGAAAATATCAGTATCGAAGGAACTTTCAAGAAATGTCTATTTTTCCAAATGCTGGTAAATAATTCTGTTTACGAGTTCGATTTCCACGAAACGTCCAGATCCCCGTAGAACCGAATAGGAACGAGAATCGCGAAGTTCCGGGTGCCATTTTCCGGAAGTATCTCGTAGTCGTATCTTTAAGTTACGAAATATTATAGTCATTGCGATTGTGAATACAAATACACTGTCGAGCGCGCTTAGAGCTCTAGCTCCTGTCTCTCGTATTTCTCTTTTTTCTCCTTTGTTTTTTTTAATTTGTAACAAGAGGTCCGCCGTGTTTTTCTGTCTGGCCTCGGGGGCAACTGTACACGGTTCTCGAGGTACATTTTCCGCGTTTTCCGGTCGCACGCTGCGCGGGGCTCGAGAATCCGCGTTATTCAACCACCCCCCGGTACTTTTAATTTTACTGCAGATATTTTCACTCGAGCCCCTTTCTTTTGCATTTTTATTTTTCTCTTTTCTTTGTACTATTACGATACTCATTACGATCGCGCACGGTACGTGTATGGTATTGTCAATGGCTTCTTCGAAGACCAGAAATTCGAGAATCTATCCTCGTTCTCTCTCTCTCTCTCTCTCTCTCTCTCTCTCTCTCTCTCTCTCTCTCTCTTTCTTTCTCTTTATTTCCCTCTCTTTCTCTCTGTCGACTTCCTGTGTTCTCGAGTTCCGAATTTTCTTGACTTTCACGTTGATTTCGCTTCGTACTGTCGTTCGTTGCAGTGTTGTCCGTGTCAGAGCTTACGCCTCGTAATGTATTTATAGATCGCTTAACATTCGTTTTCTCGATCATCGGCCACGAATCAGCGGATCGCAATGAATTCGTGGTCGCTGATACCGATACACGATCGATTATCAATGTACATGTCACCCTCCTTGGCGAATCCTTTGCCAGCGCCGAGAGAGGGAGGGCTCGCGATCGATCGACGATCCATCAATCGATCGCCGTCCGATCGTTCGCTGTGCTTACTGGGCTCGAGCCACGCGCGCAACATTTCCATGAAATTTGGGATACAGTAAGGCCTGGATGCGATCGTTTACGAAACATTTATTTTTTTGTTCTCTCTCGTACGTTCTCTAATGTGGACAAAAATATTGTGCCTCGATAACAACAATTCGATATCATCGATAACGTGGATTTTCAGTTCGTTTCTCAGTTAAAGATTGATATTGTTCAGCGAAACATAAATTACAAACGCAATTTTATTTCAATTCTGAATTTCGCGTGAATGATAAAGCTTAACCAAGACTTTGTCGGCTGTTTAAGCGGTGATCAATGGTATGTCTGGTTATTAAATTTTTCGTTTCGACACGACAAGAGCACATAAACGGTCCACTTCACGGTCAACCCCACCGGTTTACCATCACCGGATGATCCAACAGCCTTACTGTGCTCCAAATTCGCCCTCCAATGGATCCAAACACTTTTCCATTTTCAAGATTCTCGTGCGCGCGTGCTTCGCAACAACACACACACGTCGACGAAAACCGTCGTAAACTCTAATCTCCGTTACGTCAGCTACCATCATCGCGGCAAAAAAGAGAGAAAAACTTGACCGAAGGAATCGATCGATATGAAAGGATCGAACGAGAGAGTAATGCGAAACGATTTGAAAAACAACAACAACAAAAAAAAAGAAAAACAGAAGACAACCCCCCTTTGGTACTGCGTTCACGGAGCGTTAGATCTGTGTAATACTCCGAGCTTGCGCCGATGATGCATGTTGTGCTTAAGCGACTACCGAGGTGATGGTGTAAAATGTCATCACCCTCGACGCTCTGGACGATGACCCGGAAGTTTTGTCTTCTTCTTTTTTCTATAGATATACCAGCGATCCACGGTGCTCCCCAGCCCCCGCGCGCGGTGTTTTTTTTCCACTCGGCTTTACTCTGGAGTTCTTAACTCTTTTCTGTTTTCTTTTCATTTTTTTCTTTTTATTATTGTTCGCCCTGTTTCCGTGTTTGTTTTTGTTGGTTTCAGAGCCACGTCGGGACTGCTAAGAGCACAGTAGACCGCTTACATACATATGGACGCGCACACATACATACACATACACACACTGTCGCCTACTTTCTTAACGCTACCTCTCTCTCCCTCCTCCCCTCTCTTTCTCTTTTCTCTCTTCTCTCTCTCTCTCTCTCTCTCTGTCTCTGCCCCCTTCTTTCTTCGTTCTCTTGAACGATCTTAGCTTTCTTTCGACGCTTACGTCTCTCGATCCACTTTTACTCTCTGTTTTCTGTCGATCGACAGCAACTGTCCTCCCCAGACGTATATGTAGACGGCCTTGTTGAGTTCTGAACTGTACATGAAATTTTTTGGAAGGATCGAGAGGGGGTCGAACAGGTGAACAAAGTTTGTGTCGAGCCAGATTTGAGAATTATTGCAGTCGTTGAGTCTTGAACGATTCATGGACGAAGTTAATTATTTTCTTGGTTCTGTATAGGGTGTTACGAATTCGGATAAATTCTGATTCAGGAAATAAAAAATGAAAATTGTAATTTGCCTTTTGTTAATATCTCGTCGCGTCCGTTTGAAACCCATAGAAATAAAGTGAAAAGTATTATATACACATCTCGAAAGTACAGTTGTTAATACTAGAATCCGAAGAACGAATGAATATCGTTCACGGTTGGTGCGTATCGAATATTTCAAATATTAAGGCATCTTTCGTTTAACCATATTTTATTCTTGAAATTATAATATTCTATTTATGGAATCATAAAACTATTCAGGTCAGTGTTTGTACACGTTTATTTATAGATTTAAATTGTTAATATAATTCTTATTTAATTGTTCTTATTTCATTGTCTTATAACATTTGTTATTACGTAAAATTGTTGTACAATATACACAAGTAACTACACTTTTTTTTTACCGAAGAATTCTGACACTTAAAACCTTTCGTAATCTTTGACGCAATATTTTCAATTATGATTTCATACGAAAATTTTTCACCCATTTGACATTCCAAGTACAAACCATAACCCATCAATTTTCAGCACCCTGTATACATCTTCGGAGAATAGTAGAGACAGACGAGACTCGTATCGCTGCACCTGGGCTTGCAACAATGTTCCTCTCCCTTCTCTGTAATCGACAACACTGTTGAGCAAGAAAATTTGTACTTGTATATCTGGCCAGTAATACCGAACCAGCCCCGTATCGTCTCGTGTCAGCATATATTCTACGTGTTACCTCACATCCGATATATTACAGACAACAGAAACACATACAAATTTATCGTGATAGTTAACGATCATTACTGTTCTCCTCCCCATCGCTGAACTCGGACAAAACCTTACCAGCTTTCCAGCTTTTGCATCCGAACTATGCAGCTTCTAACTTTCATCACTTCGATCTATATACGACTTGTTTTCGTTTATCACTTTCCGTTGTCCGTCTCGTCGACGTGTACGTTTAATCGATCGACGAACGTCTAATCATAGGTTTTTTTCGTTAGTCCCGTTTCGTTCCATTTCTCTTTTCTCCTCCTATTTTTTTTTTTTTTTCGTCTATCAACTTTCTTGCTTTCGCTGCGATTATTGTACAATTGGTTGTGACAAACGAACGCAAAATATAACGGACGGTTCAGGGAACCATTTCCGTTTTCATGCGAAATCGATGCGAAAAGGAAATCCTTCTTTCCTCCGTCGATCGGAGAACGGTCACGTTCCGTGTTTGCGTTCGCCGATGATACCTCGTTTTAATGGATTTTTATTTGATTCTCCAATTAAAAGCAGGACCAACGATCCTCGGTTTAATTGGCCCCGTGACGGTCTTCTTCCATAATAGAAACTGTGGCTGGTCTTTCTGACACGCTTTTATTTATTTTTTCCCTCCTTCAAACAGTTGAAACACAAGGAGAGAGTAAACGAAAGAATACTGAACATTTTACAGTTATCCAACAACGAACGTCGTCATTTGGGAACGTCGCCGCAAGCTGCGTCATCGGCACAACTTTTACACACTACTACCACTACTATATTATATTACTATTGACCACATGTTAAATACTACAAGCCTAATTTTTCTCGTGTACGATTCCCCGATTTATTCTGTTTCTATTGAAAAAGCGACCGATCCAATCCGAACCTTCTTTCCCTTGTTTCACCATTATCCCATCGATATGCCCAATAATACAGACGCAACCTATTCCTCGATATTAGTTGAAACCAATCCTGTCTTTGTTGCAGATGGACATGAAGTCTGTCGGATCGTTCTACTACGAGAACTTTGTAAGTGCAGAATCTAACCACTGAATCATACAACTCATACGATTCTTTTTATCTATAAATGTATCTGTCGTGACGAGAAAAAAAATACGAAAATGATCGAAGTACATAAACTGAAGACCGCGCGCTCTTTCCGCGTCTATGCTGTACATTGCTTCCCGTACGTTCCGATATTCTCGAATTACTCGCGCGATTAAACTTCAGAAGCGAAAACAAAAAAATTAGAAACTCGAGCATCTTTTAACCAGACCTAAAAAAATCCCCGAGGATGCCTTTGAAATTGTTGTCGAGCTAGATTTGCCTAGCTTAAAGTCACTTAGCACTCGAATGCAAAACATCGGGAGACTTCGCGGCGGGTGTTCCGATCCGCTGGATTGTGATACGGTTAAAAACAAGAAAAAGCCGAATTAAAACGGAAAAGATAAAGAAGAGAGGAGTACAAAACGTGTGGAGGCTGTCAGCGAAACTTTCACGCGATCCTACCCAGACGTCATCTTTTGTCCACGCTAATCGTAAACACATCTACGCTTCTATCTTTTGCAGGCCTTCCCAGGAATGGTTCCGTATAAACGACCGGCGGGCGACAAGTCCGGCATGCCGGTCTATCAGCCTACCGGCGCGACGACCTATCAACAGTTAATGCAGCTGCAGCAGCCCTTCGTGCCTGTGTCATGTGAGTACACTGGAACACCACCCCTACCCACCCAAACCTCTAACCAATCGGTCGTGCAACCCCCGAACGTGCAAAGCAACCACCACGCGGTGGTGGTTCAGTCCTCCTCCTCCTCCCAGGAAACCGGTGGCGCCACAGTCAATAACTGCGCCGACGCCAACAATGGCGTGCTGATGGATCCCTGCAACAACCCACCGCCACCGCCTCCGACCGCCGACAGTAACAGTAACAATAGTAACGGCAATAACAAGCAGCCAAACGCCACGCAGAATCACGACGCCGAAAACGCGCATAACTCCCCCGAATTGAATCACTCCAGCCCGTCGACGATCGCTCAGCAACAGTCGCAACAGCAACACCAACAGCACCAGCACCAACAGCATCAACAACAACAACAACAACAACAAGCTCAACAACAGGCCCAGCAACAGGCCCAACAACAGGCCCAACAACAGGCCCACCAACAGGCCCATCAACAGGCCCAACAGCAGGCCGCACAGCAACACCATCATTTGCAACAACAACAACACCACCATTTACAGCAACAACAGCAAATACAGAATCAATTGGCATTGTCGGCTGCGAGCGTACAGCCCGCGATGATGAGTCCGTTGACCTCGGTCGCTGGCCTGTCCTCGATGCCCGGCGTGGTGAACATGGTCTCGATGGCCTCGATGGCCTCAATGGCGAACATGCCGTCGGTCACGATGGCATCATTGTCGAACTACAATGTCACTAATGTCGCCAACCTGAACATGCTGAGCAGCCTGGGCATGGCGTCCGGATTACCGGCGCATCTCGATCCAGCCGCTCTCGCGAAAGAGGCCGCCCAAAAGAATTACGCTAAGGCCATTAAATTGTCCCAAGCCTCGCAGTCGTATCCCATTAGCCAGCTAGCGGCGTTGAATTACACCGGGGTGGCGTTGAACAAACAGGCACTGGTGAATCCCGCGGCTGCGGCCGCAGCCGCGAACCAAGGGGTGACCGGGCTACAGGCCACAGCCGGGACACCTAGACAAGTGATCCCAAACCTGGCCGGTATCCCGGGCGCCCTTACCTCTCCGTTGTCCGCTGGATTTCTGGCCTACTCTAGACCACCGGCGGGCACTCACATCAATCCTTATTCGCTGATGAGACCGCAGATCCTGCCGAATCCTTACGTTCAGGCCTCGATGCCGACCGTTTCCAGCGCCGCCGCAGCCGCAGCGGCCGCCGCGGTCCAGGGTAGCCCGTACGCACAGAATCCTTACACGGTTCTACCGGGTGTCGCGAGCGTTCCCGGAGTTGCCGCCGGCGTAGCAGCCGCCGGTGTACCGGGTGTTCCGCAAATTTCGCAGATTCCAAATCCCGCGACGATCGCGGCGCAACCGCAGGTGGCAATCCCCGTGAGTTCCGGCGTGATCATGCAGCCGTACAAAAAGATGAAGACCTCGTAAACGGTTTCTTAGGGAACGCGAAGCGCGCGCCTCTGGCTTCCGTGCCTTCGAGTCTTAAGATCATTTGGACACACGGTGTGTTTTTTTAATGCTCGTACAGGGGGTGGCGGTGTTGTATGATCTGTTTGCGATTCACGGACTCGTTCGCGTAACATTATTATGCATGGTACTTGTTTCGTCGGATTGTATAGGCTCTGTTTGAATTTTGATATTCAAGTTGTCGGAAACATAGACGGATGTTACGGGGGTTGAGATTAAATCTGTTGGTTATTTCGTTTCTTCTTTTCGTGAGATTGTTGCGTATCAATTGTCATTTTGTCTATGTAAAGCTACGACGATACATCATTTTTTCTTTTTTTTTTTTTGTAACAATTTCTTATGTAATGAAAACATAATTATACACAGAAAATATTTATATACCGTTTTCCAATGCCTTCTCACGGGCATCATTTATTTTTCACGCAATCGATCTTAAGGTTAAAAAGAAATATACACCGACGAGGGATAATTGGGGATCGACGAAAGGATAATCTTCAATTCCATGCTACTATTTACTATAATTTTCTACCTTCGTTCTCGAGCTATGGAGCTTTCCATCCGAAAATAACAAAATTAATTTCCGATTAATTTCGGTGATCTTTGTCTTTCAACAACTTTAGAGACTATTATTAAGGAGCTCGTCTTATTGGACAATGCAGTTCATACAAAATACATAAATGCCACTGAATCTATCACGTATATCATTATAAAAAGAACATTTCATACGCAACAATCTAATCATAAAAGTCGAAAAAGGAACTGACAGCAACTTAAGTTTTGCAGTATAATTCGCTTTATACAACGGTCGAGTATCATTACACCGAACAAGTATCTCTTTAGTATGTATATTACTATGTAACAGGGCGAAATGCCTCGCGAATAACTTGTCCATGTAATCCTGTCAACGTCCGTGCGAGTGTTGATGATCGATTTCAAAGGAATTTTCCTTTTTCTTTTCTTGTTTCGTTTTTTACGTGTCGTTGACGATGTTAAAGATCGTAATGGTAGATCGTTAGTCGAATTTAAACGGTACTATAACAAGGAATTGAGCGAATCGTAGAAACCGTAGCGCGGATTGTTAACGCATGGGAACTGCAGCGGTCGCGCGTTCCTATCCACGAAAGAGAGAATACCAACCGAGCGGATGCGAAACGAGAAATGAAACGTTGAAATAAAAGACGAGAAAACGAAAAAACGGTTAAGAGACAAAACAAGAGTTCCGAAAAAATAATAGATTCATTTTCTAGTCAGACATTGTCGGTGAACAGTGCCTTATTGACCCGATTCCACTTTGAAGCGTTTTCGAAGCTACGCGAAGAATAACGACGCGAAGACTACTTTTCAGTCATCCTCGATTTCTTCGTTTCTCTGGTTTGCGATTTTAACGACACACATTTAATAAACTCGAAACGTCCACGAACGGTGTATGTAATTCATGATTTCAAAGTCATTCTCTCTCTTTTTTCTTTTGCTTTCCTCTTTTCATTCTCTATACATTTACAATCGTCTGTTAAAGTGGATCTATGGAAGACTTGCCAGAGTTAAACTTCGGTGTTTCGCACGAGTCATCGGGGAAATATTATTCTTAAGAGATTTCTCCGTTTCGTTTTCACAATGCTGCTGCGGCGTTCCTTAGCATGTAGACGTAGAGTTTTTAGTTGTACGTTTAAGTGTCATCGATTTGTAGTTCGCTAAACATAGAGATGGTTTTAATTTTGTTGAAAATTTCTATTGCGGCGCGTCGCCACGCGACCTGTTCCGTTTTCTTTTTTTCTTTGTTTATTGTATTGTATATTACGACGGTTGTTGCAACGGATATGTATTTCAAAGAAATGTTCCTTCGAAATTCTATTATACCCTTCTTATATATATTTTTTTTTATACGTATACAAACACACGCACACAAAGTCACACAGGCACACATACACACATGTACACGTACACACATACGGCAAAATGGACGGAAACGACGCTCGGCCTAAGTCACACGTTCGCGTGCGCGATACTTGCCTTTTTAAGTCCATAGAGTTAATATGTATTTAAGCTCTGTCGACTGTTGCAAAGTCCATTTTCTTTCCTCTTTTCGTTTTTAAGTTTCTCGGTCGATTGCTCGTTATTCGAAGTCGATTGATTTTATTCGCTATATATATAAATATATATATATTGTTCGTTTACCGTTTTGTCAGATTTTTAATTTTTATCGTTTATCGCGTAGGTTACTCTTAAAGAGACGGAGAGGGAGAGGTGGCGAGAGGAGAAGGGAAACAAAAGTTAAGGGAAAAGAGGAAGTTTAATTTTCCAGAGGTCTTAAGATTTCCGTCGATCGTAACATTTTAAATATGTATATCGTTTCGCCTGATTCTCGTTCGAATACCCTCGACGGTTCCTCGGGAATTTTGCGCCGATCCGACCTCTGCCCTTTCCATGTTAGTTTTTAGGGGTTAATTGAACTATAGTAACGTATGTTTCCTAGAAACACCTTGCACATCGATGAGATTGAAACGGAAATGCCGTCGTGTTCAGGGCGGTCCTTTTAATTCGTACATATATATATATATATATATATATTATATAATTAACGTACGCATAGATTTAGCAGAGATATCGTCCTATCTTATTTTATCTAGTGTTACAATAATAATAATATTAATATTAATGATACTAGTAGTATATTTATCTAGATAGTATGTAATTAGCATGTGAAACACGAGGCGTCATCCCTCTGTCCTTTGCGGATTCAATTCGGGGGAGTTTGTTGGACATACAGTGAACCTCGTCAATTGCAACTTACGAGCTTACGCATTTAGTCGAGTGAAGAGACGATTACGAGCGAGCCAAAGCGGAAATCAGAGTAAACGAAAAAAAGAACAACAACAACAAAAAGTGACAGATATTACATGCATTTACATGAATTTACGAGAAATGAAACGTGCACGAGAAGGCTGATCTCGATGGGATATAGAGAGTCAGGAGACACTTGGAAAACAAGACTATTAACAAATAAACGGAAAAACAAAAGAAAAAAAAACGTGAAACGAGTTCACATGCGCATTAAAATGACACACGACCGCACAAAACCCGTTCAAAACATATACACGAACACTCTTCGGAGGGCTAATTACACACAGCGTATGCGTCGACGTAATTTAGTAAATTGTGCATTTCTTACCGGGGAAAACGAAAAAGAGGAAAAACGTCCGAGTGGTGTAACGATGTAACGAGAATAGTCGCTCGTTGTAGAATTAATTTCTCTGTTCTGTGTACTCGTACACGTGTTTGCCAGTGATTTGAAAGTTCATTTTAGCCGAGACGATAGTACTGACAAGGGTGGACATACGTGTATTATATTTAAATATATTGTAGATCTATATATTACGTGTAAATAAGAATTTTCTTTACACATTTAAACAAAAGTGTCGGGAGACGATATTATTATGTGTATTTGTGTAGATATGTATACACGTTTGTCACTGGCATATACAGTGAAGAGGGAAGTAATTGACCCGAATGAAACCGTGCCAACGCGCAAATATAATAGTCTTGTCGAACCTTTGGAGAAACAGCGTGGATCTAGGAAATCAGGTGTTTTACCACAAGCATTAAAATCACCAAAGCGGGGTGAAAATGAATCGTACTATTAACCCGTCACCTCTTCTCTACTTAATCTGTAATTCTTTCTTTAACAAGCGTTCAAGGTTTAAGCCTTTCCGTTTTCGAAAAAGAAAAACAAAATAAAACGGCAAAGGGATAATTTTGTCTGTTCGAGACGACACGAAGAAAGAAAATTGTGCAATATATCATAATAGTGAAAATTAATCGTACTATTAATTTAATTCGTTTTAGCTTATTCAATTTATTCTTGGATAATTCCATGATTCTGATTGTCAGTCTGTCGAGAATCAATAAAAGGGAACTCTTTCCGTTATCGAAAGAAACAAGAGAAGGGATTTCTGGCCTCGGGAAAGATTCTCACCGCGCGTTCAAGTCTCCAAAGCGACTCTAATCGAACGTGTATATTAATTTCATCTTGCAATTATTCAATCCACGATTCAGTTCAGAATTTCATGCTTTCCATCTTGAAAGCTGTCAGAATAGTCAATTCGTTGTGTCGACAAGCGACAACATCGATTGCGTGTTTCCACGGTTCCGTTCGTTCGTTCGTAGCGTGACGCAAAGGCATTTTCTCCGTGTTAATCGCGGGGGACAGGGCACGCACGTTTGCACGGGGCGCGCTCACACGCACAAAAATGATAGAGATTTGTGGCAAGCGCATTGCTTACTACCCGCCGGGCGGTAAACATTGTTCAGGAAACACGGTCTTCCATAACGACAGAGGTGTATGACTCTCGGTACGGTTACTTTTCTATCGTTTGTCGAACGAGAGCGAGCGGAGAGGTTGCCTTTGATCCGCGTCACAGTTGGAGATACCTTTAAGGGCGAATGCGTTTGTGATAATTTTCGATGTGTAACGACCGGACACACGTCCTAAAGACGAGACGAACGCAAATTTGTACACACGCAGAAACACACGTCACATAAACGGCGAATACACGCGATCCGTACATACGGTTCCGTGAATCACTTTCTCTCGAACGGCCTCCTGCAACAGACGAATTAGGTTATACGATATTCTTCGGTTTCCAAAGACTAACCGGTGACTCCGAGGGTTCCTTGACTTGCTGTTTACACTTGTACACTACCGAGAGGGTGGCTGATTTTTCCGTGATCCACACCGGAAACAGGAACTGCGTGTTCAGCCGGGCGATTTCGTGAATAGACTGACGATTTTGATGTGCTTCTGTGGGTATCTGTTGAAATCCGCGAAATACAATGATATAGAAATGATGGTGGATTCTTAAGGAGGAGAGAAGACTTGGGTGCGGCGATAGTGTTTCATATCGAGCATTAATATCACTGAAACGACGTAAATTTATTTATCCTATTAATCCGATATTTCGGTT